AAAAAAATACTGGAGCAGCCAGATTAGCAATATCTTGTCTGAATGTCTGTTAAACACAAAAATGCTTCTGGAAAAATACACAGAAGCAGGAAGCATAGAGCCAGCACAGGTGTTAAGCAGCTGCTGTAGGTTAAATGTTGTAGACTCAATTCTGGATAAGACTAGGAAAAGCTGATACCAAATCAAACTGAGCGTGAGCTACCATTTATAGTCAGCTAGAGAGTTTTAACTGGCTAGAATTCCCTGCACCATTATGCCAATTTGTGGGGTAATACCATACCTATGTTAATGCAATGAAGACCTTTATAAAGATAAGTATGAAATTTCCAATTCCACAGAATTGCATGCAACACATTAATATGCATAAAGATGTGAAACCAAAGCAACCAGCTGGTGGTTTCATAGGTAGAGAATTCTGATTGGTTAAGAGCCCATCATRCTTTGGACAGAAAATACTCAAGACACTGAGACTTACTGACAATTATCTATGCCAAAAAATCTCTGTTTTTCAAACTTAAGTTTTGTCAAAGTAAGACCTATTAGCTCAAAGCTTTGGGAGAAGGACTTATTAAGTAACTGAATTTTGGCTCAACTCCCTTATTTCACATAAAAAGGAATCAAAGTTAAGAGAGGTGCTCACAGTCACTCAGCAAGCCAATATGGGAGCTAAGATCTGAATCAAAGGCCTTGGAGCCTGGCCYTGTGCATGGCCTTTCACATCATGCTGGAGAAATTAAGAAAGCATTGTAGTGACTTGATAAAAGATTTATTATAGGGAATATGGTTCAAGGTTGCACTATTCCCTGAAAGTCTGTAACTTTATCATTCACATATTCTAGAACTTTCCATGAAAATGGAAATGTTCTATATCCACACTGTCTAATACAGTAGCTACTGGGCACATGTAGCTACTGTACACTTGAAATGGGTCTAAGGGCAACTGTGGAACAAAAAWTTTTAATGGTATTTAATTTTAATTCATTTAAGTGTAGATAGTCTGATTTCAAAATATTGTTTCATTGTCTCTACACAACTATTGAAATGTTCCAGAAACACATTAATTCACATGTAGTCAGCCTTTCACACTTGGAAGAAGCACAAAATCCCGTTGGACAGTATGATGTCTTTTTTTTTCTTTTGGAAGATATGTTCACTATACTTATCATGATCTGTCTTAGAAAGTGAACCAAGAACTAAGCATTAGCTCTAAGCAACACTAAGATTTATTATTCCATTATCCCTACGCTCCTGTTGTGATAGCAACACAAGAGTTGGGAAAATAAGAGGCAATGATCAACATCATGTAGTCCCTGTATGTGGGAAAACTGCAAGCAGTCTGGTTAGCTGGAACCACTCCCACTGCTGCAGGCCTGTCATTCACTCTGCCTGGGAGAAGCCAAGAATTGCCCCAAATTGCTTTCTGCATATCTCTGCCAAGCTACTTGATTTCTGAACTTTATCTGGTCTCCTCAGTCCTGCATTATTTTGGCAATAATGACAAACACTTCCCCCACAAACTAAAAACTACCCAAATATCTAATATAATAGTAATACAGCAAGTTGAAATTTCACTATGTGCCAAGTCCTATACTAAGCACAAATATGTATATATTTTTTGGGAGGTCACTATTTCCATAATGTGTGTGTGTGTGTGTGTGTGTGTGTGTGTGTGTGTGTCTTTCTCTCTCTCTCTCTCTAAAATATGAAGGACAAGAAGTTTGGAAGCTAAATAATTTACTCCAGGTGCAATAGCTACTAAATGGTGAAGCCAAATTCCAGGCTTTTAACCATTATATAGTACTTTTATAGGATGCTTGCTACATAAAAAGTACTCAATAAATGAACGAATGAGTAATGAATGAACCAATTACAGTTACCAAACACATTCATTATCCCTTCTATTAATAAATACAATAACATGTTTCCCTAAGTACGACTTTAAGCCTTAAACAAAGCTGTCATTTGGTGAAAATATTGCCTGTGACTTCTTTCTGAGTAAAAGATGTGTGAAATTCACACCTATGAGAAATTTAACACATCTATAATGGGCAATCATTCATGACCATAAAGAAGCAGAAAGGCAGTTTCAATAAACAAATAATTAAAATTATCAATGAAAATATATTAAATGACCTTCTGAAACAATTTCTTCATCATTCTTCTGTTTTCTCATATTAGCTGAATTCCTTGAGAGTAATGTGTTTACAACTTCTATTACATTTACATTTAGAGGTATCAGCAAAGATCTACAAAAAGACTCATACCTGCCAGCAAAGATTATGAATAGTCCTGGCTCCTAAACTGTGTATTTATTTGTTTGYTTATTTATGTATGTCTTGCAGTGCTGGGAATCAAACCTAGGGCCTCTCACATGCTAGGCAAGCACTCTACCACTGAGCTATACCCCCACCCTAAACTGTTCCCTTTGTCTCCAGACTTTTCCATCCGCCAGTCCACATTYATCTAAATCTTTTTTAGACAATACRTTCTCTTTGCTGCTCTATATCTTCACACACTCATTTTTCCTAGTATATCAATAAATTATTTGTGTTCAACTCTTAAGGCCTCCCCCAGAACATTCTGTTCAGGTTTTAGAGCTTCTCACTATCTCACAGTTTCACCAAGCTCATTTTCACCTCCATTCCTCTGCCAGGAATGCCTCACACTCCTTCAGTTACCCAAATCATCGCTATGCCTACCTAGTTCAAGTTTCATTTTTTCCATGAATCTCCTCTGACCACTGGGTTTATTTGCAGTGCTGGGGATCAGACTCAGAGTTTCATACATGATAGGTGAGCACTCACTACTACTGAGTCACTCTTGATTTTGATCTCTGGTCACTCTTTTTTTGGAGGGGGGTACCAGGGATTGAACTCAGGGGCACTCAACCACTGAGCCACATCACCAGCCCTATTTTGGATTTTATTTAGAGACAGAGTCTCACTGAGTTGCTTAGTGCCTCGCTTTTGCTGAGGCTGGCTTTGAAGTTGCCATCCTTCTGCCTCAGCCTCCTGAGCCACTGGGATTACAGACATGCAATTATAGTGTGCATTGCTGTGCCTGGCTTCTGGGCACTCTTTGATTTTGATCTGTCTCAAACACTAGTTTCCCAGATGATCTCTGGCTCACTTCTGCTCCTCCTTCAGGCCTCAAATGTAACTTTATTCATTCAGCTTTCTCTTACCTCTTTCTTTCTTTCCTTTTTTTTTTTTCTTTAATTTTCATTACAGTTTTCWTAGTGTAGACAGTTCCACTATAAAGATATGCCTAAAACCCAAAGGATTTTCTGTAAAAAGTCTTACCACTATATTGAAATTGTTTGTTCATTTCATCCATTATCAGCCTTCCTCTGCAAACTAATGAGGGCAAGGAATTTTATAAGTTTATTATTGGTTTATCCCCAGAACCAACAATACTGTCTGGCACATAGAATATGTACTGAATGAATGAATCTTCCTCTTTTTTAATATCTAGCATGTTCAATACTGTATCATTTAGCATTTAATTACAGTTAATTTAGGACTATAGATCTTTGTCTCCCTCTCTCTTTGGGCTTTTTGTTTGTTTTGTTGTTGTTATTTGTATTTGTTGTTGTTGTTGTTTTGCTTTACTGGCAATAGAACCTAGGGCCTCATGCACACTAAGCAAGTACTCTACTAATGAGCTACACCACCAGTCCTTTTTGTCTCTTTAACTGTATTCTCAAGTCAAATATAATTTTTGATGTCCTGATATATTTTCGTCTTCTTTGTTCATGCTTTATTTCATTAAACATTCATTAAATACAGGTTGAGCACCTATATCATATGCCAGAGGTTCTATTCTTTTAGCAAAAAGTTGAAGAACTGACAAGTACACATACATATGCACATAACACATAAAGGGGAGAAATAAGACCAGAAGAAAGTATAGTAAAAGGAGGACAAGTAAAACTAAGAACCCAACATTAGGACAGAGGAACAGAGTGCACAGGGTGAATGTGACAGACCAAGTGGGTAGAAGAAAGAAAGTGAGACAGAATAGTGAGAGACTAAGACACTGCCAAAGTAATCACCAGATGGTAAGGCTTAATATAAACTGCACCAAAGCAGATATGCAAATATATTCTACATGAATTTTTAAAATTCACATTTCAAGTTATCTGCTAGCTATCCTGTGGATAAAAATTGGATCAAGATAGCGACATCTGGTGGACATTTTAGAAGTGACCCTGGAGTTTCTCTACAATGAAAACACCATAAATACCCCCATGCTTCTACACTGACAATCATAATGTGTTAGGGCTCCACATTACAAGAATAGCCAATGTTACTTTATATGTTTGATTTTTATTTTTGTATGTGTAGGGGGAGATATTGGGGATTGAACACAGAGGCACTCTATCACTGAGCACATCCCCAACCCTATTTTGTGTTTTATTTGGAGACAGGGTCTCACTGAGTTGCTTAGCAACTGGCTTTGCTGAAGCCAGCTTTGAACTCTAGATCCTCCTGCCTCAGCTTCCARAGCTGCACGATTACAGGCATGAGCTATCACACCTGGCTATGTTTGATCTCTCTATCTCCCAATTGACTTCCAACTGCTCTGAAAGGATGTATACAAAATTACAACATCTGACATCACAATTCTTCTTTTACAAGATAATTTCTTATTGTAAATGTTCACATCCTTTTAAGTTGTCTTAAAATTACTTATTTGTAATATGAGAGGCAAGGCTGGAGAATCTAAAAGTCCAATGACAAAGCACTGGTCAAGAAAAATCACAACCATTATAAAGTTTACCAAACATATGTAGCCCCAATAAAACAAAAATTTTAACAATTTCCTATTAAGAAACATGGAGGGCTGGGGTTGTGGCTCAGTGGTAGGGTTTGTGCCTAGCATGTGTGGGGCACTGGGTTTGATTCTCAGCACCACATGTAAACAAATAAAGATCCATTGACAATTAAAAAAAAAAACTTAAAAAGAAACATGGAGTGATCTGGGCATGGTGGTGCACACCTGTAATCCCAGTAGCCTGGGACAGCTGAAGCAGGAGGATTGCCATGTTCAAAGCCAGCTTTATCAAATTAGCAAGGCCCTAAAGCTACTTATCCAGGCCCTGTCTCAAAAATAAAAAAAGAAGCACTGGGGCTGGGGCTCAGTGGTTAAGCACCTTTAGGTTCAATCCCTGGTACCAAAAAAAAAAAAAAAAAAAAAGAAAGAAAAAGTAAAAAGAAAGAAAGAAAAGAAAAAGAAAGAAATATGGGGTAAAAAAAAGCAAAGTCAAAAAGCTGGCACATAAGCTGGGTGTGGTAGCACATGCCTATGATCCCAGCTATTTGGGAGGCTGAGGCAGGAAGATCATAAGATAGAGGCCAGCTTCTACAATTTAGCAAAACCCTGTCTCAAAATAAAAACCGGCTGAGGATGTAGCTTAATAGTAGAACTATTCTGGGTTCAACTCCAATACCAGAAGAAAAAAAAATTAAACTTGTACATAATATGATCTCATGTAGAACATTTATAAAGAAAAAAAGATTAGACAAATATATTCCAAAATATGAACAATGTTTACTTCTGGATGGACAACTTGTGTCCTGGTGGGTTTTTTTAATGTTTTTTTTAACTTCTTTTTGATATTTATCAAATACTTTGTAATTAATATATGTTATTTCTAAGTCAGACTTTATGTCTTTTAAACAATGCATATGTTCTTATTAACTGCTAGGGTTTTTCAACTTTTGTCTGACTTTATTAATTTCAGAAAAAGATGATGAATCAAGGCTTATGTGAGCTAGAATTTCCATAAGGAGAAACAAGAAAAGAAGGCAAACATAAAAATTCTGTTCCAGGATATGAGTTCTAGTGGAGAAATCCCCCCAGATATAGAGATATCCTGAAATTCCAGTAATGTCATCACATTCCTCTCAATAGTGCACCACAGACTTACAGAGGGCTTTGCTGGCACCAAGGAGTTACCGAATCTCATAATCACTTGAGTTCCCATCTTCAGAGTCCCCAGAAGGCCAAATCAGAGCCACCTTAAAATAGGAAAAGAAACAAATGGGCAAATATTCAGGAAGAGAAAGAAATTCCACAAGCTAAAACAACTAGTTGGATCAGGCCCTGTCCCCCAAACCTATCTTAAGCATCTTGAAATACCAAAATAATACCTTGGTTAGTAGGAAATCTAGCCTAAGGTCTTATAATCACAATAGAGCTATGCCAATGGCATTTTAAATTCCAGTTACTTAAGATTTCATAGTAATAAAGAGCAATGTCTCCTATCCGTTTCCCTCATTCATTCACTTATCAGCCAAGGGCCATAATGTATATTCTGAAGATAATTAGGAGAAATATTGGAAGCTTTGCTTCTTGGCATTTATTCTTTAATTCCCAGAATTCATCCTTAACTCCAAAACGTATAATTCTAATGTAGAAATGTGTATACAGCACTTTAAGCTTACAGAGTATACCTTGGAATTAGGGGTAATTTTTTTTTACCCCCAGGCTAACATATAGAAAATARGGTAGGCATAAAGAAAAATGAAATAAATCATTTCATTTTCAAGTTCATGGAACTTGACATCATTTTTTTTTAAAGAGAGAATGAGAGACAGTGAGAGAGAGGGAGAGAGAGAGAATTTTAATATTTATTTTTTAGTATTTGGCAGACACAACATCTTTGTTTGTATGTGGTGCTGAGGATCGAACCCGGGCCGCACGCATGCCAGACGAGCGTGCTACCTACCGCTTGAGCCACATMCCCAGCCCCTTGACATCATTATTTTAAGTGAAATAAGCCAAACTCAGAACCTCAAGGGTTGAATGTTTTCTCACACATGTGGAAGCTAGAGGGGGAAAAGGAAAACAAAGGTGGGGAGTGATAGAATAAAAAGCAAAGGGAGATCGTGAAACAGAGAAAAGGGACCATGGGGTTGTGAGGTAGTGTTGGGGAGGGATATTAGCCAAATTATATTGTTGTACTGGGTGCATGTACTGATATGTAACAACAAATACCACCRTTATGTATAACTAAAACGCACCAGTAAAAAAGAGAAAATAGGGTAGGGAGTTGCTCCAACAATTAGTAGCGGCAGCCCCCTGATCCACATTGTATAAATCTACTTGCACTACCTAGGTCTGCACCAAAGCACAAGGAGAACAAGCCAGTAAAATAATAATGGTGATGATGATAGTGGCAGACAACATTATACACTGTTGCTAGTCCTTTAAATTCTCACAAGCACTCTCTGAGGTTGATACTATTCTTACCAAYTTTTTTGTGCTGGGATTTCATTTTCACTACTCTTACCCACCTTCAGAGATTAATTCCTCTTAGGGACCAACAGAGGGTCAGCGACATTTGGGTAGGAAGGTGTGCAGGCTGAGAAGGGGAAGCGCGRTACCCCTCGTCTCTAAACTCTTGAAGTCTAAAACAGAAACTGCACACTAAGAATCTCCAGGGCTCAGAGAGGAATCCGTCTCATTCTTCTCATCCCACCGTCTCCCCCCTCGCTCGACCCGATCTGGACGTTCATTCGTGGTAATATTTTCCAGTTACCAGTCACTTTTAGCACCTACCTTTCAAAGTACCGGTATGTCTGGTTCAGCATCCTGGTCCCCAGCCTTTCTGGACTCGGCCTGCGCTTTCTCTGGCGTCGCCGCTGCGTTACCGCTGCCATGGTAACACGGAGGCGTCCCCGCAGCTCCGCCCTCCTGCAGCCAGCACAAGCTGGCCCGGTCCGGCCCTGATTCCACGCCCCCGACTTCCGGACCCCGCCTCCAGCCGGCCCGAGCCCGCCCCTGCTAGACAGCGCTCCGGACGCCGGGGACCCGGACTCTACCACCTGCCAACCCAGACTCCGCCCCCACCGTCCCGTACCCRCCTCCCAACCCATCAGACCACCACCCCCCGCAGGCCTTGATCAGGCTGTCCCCCCTGGCCACGCCCCCTGCGAGTCTGGACCCTTGTCCTGCCGGCACCGCCCAGGGCCTTCCTTCAACCAATGAGAGTCCTCCCACTGTTCAGCCAAACCACGCCCGAGTCCCGCAGCTGCGCAGGCAGAGAATGGGGTCGCTCAGGTGCTAGTACGGGTTGAATTTTATGCTGGGCGGGGACCCGCTTCAAAACCCCGCCCCAGAAAACGGACCAGGCCTGTTCCTCACGCTGTTTATTGATTGAGCCGCTCCACGGAGCAATAGCTACCAGTTCAGCCAAGAAGAGTTTCCGGGTTTCTCCACGCTGTTTGGTGACTTGAAGTTCCCGTGGCCAGTGGTTGGAGAAAGCTTCTTCCGTGCCTCAGCGCACGCCCCCATTTATCTCCCTAGGTGTGGGACCCTTGATCCCGCCGCCACTGAGGGAAGTGCCCAAGCCAGCCCTGGAGGCTGTATGCAAAAGCTCAGAATGGTTTTCCAGAGCACCCCCTCTTCAACTTTGGAGTTTAAGGTGTATAAAAGTGATACCATTAAATAAAACTTAACATAATCAGCTCATCGTGAGCCTGCTTTTTTTCCGCACTAGCCAGAGCAATGTTAGGGGTCAAGGGCCTACCTTCCTGCACAGTCCACTTAACCATTTTTTTTTTTTTTTTTTTTTGTGGAACTCTTTCACCCATAACTAACCTAATCATAACTCCAAGCTAACAATGGCAAATAAGAAGCCTAGGAGAGAGGCTGGAGACATCCATAATTCCAAAGGGCTCTGGAGCTCTTTAAGATTAAAATGTGGCCAACATCCCTGGGCCACTCATTCCCCAAAGCAGTGGATTCTCCCCACAGGAGTAGTGGTAAAAAGATGGAAACTGTTCTTGCTCCGAAGGCTCACACCAGAGTACCATTCTTGCTGTCATATCGAGGTGTGGCCTGGGGGAAGCAAAGGGTAGCATACTCTGTAGCATTTTCTAAATACCAGTGTTTCACTTCACTGGCAGAGCGTGGTTGGGTAAGACTGTTCACTTGAATGTCTGCATAATGTAAGTTGCTCTCCTCCAACTTGAGGTCTTGATTCCTCTTTTGAGATTTAGGCTGCTGTAACACCTGCTCATACATGTGTCCTCTTATTTCATGGTCCTGCAAGGAATTAGCAGAATTAAAGATGATGCTTGGCTTGGTTTTGCCCCTCACCACCAGTGCAGARCAAACTAGACTGAGGTCCCTTTACTTTGCTCCTTAGGGACAATGGAGGCTAAGCAGAACCAGCAAATTCTACAGATGACTGAGATGTGTTTGTCCCAGGGTAAAAAAGATAAGTACTGGGATCCCATGTCTGAGTAGTCCCAAGAGGCGATGCCTGTCATTACCTTTGTGCAATTCTGCTGCAGCTGTTGTTGCTGCTTCTTCAATGTGCGTCTTGCTTGGCTCCCTGCAGGGAAGAAATCCAACTTAACTCCATTCTCTGTTTCTGCTGAGACYGCCCTTTTCGATCTTTAATTAACTACTGTGGGGGACTTCTACCCTTCCTGTCTCCATTCCCAATTCTTTCACTTCTGTTGTTCCTACATCTGAACTCCTTCGCAGGGTATACCATCTGGCTTTTTCACAATCTGGTCATAATATCTTCCATCCTCATTTTCCCCAGCCCCTGACATAGTTTCATAAATATATGTTGAGCCTCTGTGCCACGTTTTAGGGATAGAAGCATGAGAAGGCGGTTTCTACTGCTTCAGGGAGCTTAGAGAGTACTGGGGCAGACAAATTAGTAAACAGACTGACTACTATGTGGTAGGTTAGTGCTCAGTCACATCAGTGGGCCACTTTCAATCAAGTCTCTCTCTTTCTCCTTTCTGTATCTTTCACATGAGTATCTATTACAGCACAAATAGATAATATTATCATTATTTGTTTACATGCGTCTACCTCTCAAACTTGATTTTCAGCTCTTCCAGGGCTGAGACCACGTGCCCTTCTTGTGCTTCTCTGCCTCCACCTCACAGAGTGGCTCACATTCAATATAAATGCTCCGTGATATTTACTAAATGAATGAAAGAATGGGTGCCCCAACCTGCCACTCTGAGATAATATAAAAGAAATAAGATCCACAGACTCRGGGCTACTCTTGAACCCAGCAAATTAAAGATTCTCTTTGGTGTATTATCTTCCTTTTTTTGCWTCCAAGGCCACTTGTCTTTTTTACCCTTATGCCCTTTCCTTTATTATTTTTTTATTATAATWATTATTTTTTTAGTGTGTGTGTGTGGTGCTGGGGATTGAACCCAGGGCCATGTGCATGTGAGGCAAACATTCTACCAACTGAGCTATATCCCCAGCCCCACCCYTTATGCCCTTTCCAAAGATATCATTTGTCTTGTCTCCTCTAATTTGCTCTATCCAGGGCTTTCCCTCAAAGTTACCTTTTTTCTTTTTCTTCTGGAAAGTTGATGGGCAGCTCCTGTGATAGGAAAAACAGATCACCTATGTGCAAGAGCTCTGACCTCCCTTCTTTCATTACTTGTTCTGTGGTCTCTGTAACATTCCCTAAAAATTCATCCTGAGCCAGGTTCAGCCTGAAAGCATTTCTCAAGGGTACCTCTCCCAGATGGATGGTTCTGGAAGGTAGAGTGGTACAACTGACATAACCAAACCCAAAATACAGCTTTAAGCAACCAGCACTACATGCCAGGGATGTTGCTGGCTTGAGGGCTATTCTGGGACTGTCTAACAAGCTAATCCCAGCAGAGGGTAAGGGAAACCTGCCAAATAATGGGATATTCCTGGATCCAGAGACCCTCTTGCTTCTTCTTCTGTACTATTTTTTTTTTTCAGGGTCTTTACCAACTTGAGACTTTCATTCTGGGAGTCATAAAAGCTGTCAGAGCTAATTAGTTAGGACCCCTCAAAGTCCTTTTCCAATAAGTGACCTCCCTACTGGCTTCTCTGTCCTTGCTTTTAATTAACAGAAAGCGAGAGATGTTTAACCTTTAATGTCCTTTGGAGTACTTTGTCTTCAGCACAGGGAGCACTGAATTTGGTGAGTGACTCAGCTAGCTTGCCCTCACTGCAGGACAGRCCTCTAATATTAATTTCTGAGCCCCTAGAGTCCCCAGAGCAGCCAGTGTGTCTATGTAGTTGTCAATGGTTTGATACCCAAAGAAAAAACACTTGTCTGAGGAAATAGGCTGAATAGTTTTGGACTTACTCGGATGCTTTTTCTTGCTAGTACATTTCCAAATCTCACCACAGCCGACCCTATTTGTCTGTCTGATTTCTCCTCTCCCCGGGGAGTTTCCTTCTTTTGCTAATTGAAAAGAAAGAGAGGAGACAGACTTCTAAATTATGTTGACTGTACTATTGTAGGAAAAAATCAGGATTTTTCCTTATACTTTTGATAAAGGTCTGGGTTTTGGTGTGATTTTTGGTTTTGATGCCTATTGAGTTGAGAGCAGTTACACTTCATCCAAATGCTACAAGTAAGTGGTTCAGCAGAAAAAACAACTTCTCTCTTTCAACTTCCTCTTCTACYGCTTCAGTTTTTTTTGTGTTACAGCTGCCCACTAATAGTCTTATCCTAGAAGCCAGAGAATCGCCTAATTCCTTGCCCCTTGTCTTACTGCTTTCCTAGTTATTTCTATTTAAATGGATAGAAAAAACATCAATTCCAAAAGACATGACACCTGCAATTCTAGCTAATTGGAAGGCTGAGGTGACAAGTTTGAGGGCAGTCTGGGAAACTTAGAGAGACCCCAACTCAAAAAAAGGGGGGGGGGGCTAGAAGGAAGCTCAGGGGCAGAGTGCCTCTGGATTTAATCCTCAATACTGCAAAAATAAATACGTAAACAAACAAAATGACTAGGGCTAACCAATTTTAGTAAACAGAGCCTCTTTCCAAATTGGATATTGCACAGTGCTTGGATACAACCCAGAGTGTTAATAGGTGACAATTTATTTTTACATCAGAGTTCAGGAAACTAAATGGGCACTCACAGTTGTAGTAGGCTCAATCCTTCCAAAATGCAATTGGAAATAAGTATGAAAAGCCTTAAATATAGCAATTCTATATCCTAATAAATAATACTCCGTGTGCAAATATGGCTACTCTTTGTAGCATTGTTTATAATTTCAAAAAATAGAAAACACCATGAAGTTCAATATTTGGTTACTGACCAAATAAATGGTATATCCAGTCAATGGAAAAAAATTGGGGGGCTGGGGATGTGGCTGAAGTGGTAGCACGCTCGCTTAGCATGCGTGAGGCACTGGGTTTGATTCTCAGCACCACATAAAAATAAAATAAAGATATTGTGTCCACTTAAAACTAAAAACTAAACATTAAAAAAGTCTACCTTTAAAAAAAGAAAAAAAAAGTTATTTACATAGTTGTAGATGGACAGCATGATTTTATTTTATTTATTTATGTAGTATTAAGGATCGAACCCAGTGCCTCACACATGCTAGGCAAGTGCTCTACCACTGAACTACACCCCAGCCCCAGTCAATGGAAATTCATGTAATCACTTTACTTAATAGCATGAAAATTTTACTTTTTATTAAGTTAATAAAAAGATAAGAAGTTGGGCACAGTGACACATGCCTGTAATTCCAGGACTCCAGCTGTTGAGGCATGATAGTAAATTTGAGGTCAACTTGGGAAACTGAGCAAGACCTGTCTCAAAATAAAAAATAAAAAGGGCTGGGGATGTACCTCAGGGGAGAGTGGGTGCCTTATTGATTTTTATTTATTTTTAAATTGATTTTTATTTTCTTTTTTTAAAATATTTTTTTTAGTTGTAGTTGGACACAATACCTTTATTTTATTTATTTTTATGTGGTGCTGA